TATTAAAAACATAATGTTTATTCTTAAAAAAAAAAACCTTAATGAATATTGGAGAAGGGGCCCTGGTCAGCTGTACGACGCAACTCACAAGAGCGCTGGACGGCATTGAAATCATTCTCAATTTTTATTGAACACCCGTTATCAGCGTTACTGGTTGGTATTGCTTTTATTATGATTGACTTTTATATTTAGGACATTTTCAGCGGCAAAAAAAATTTTCCTAAATAAATAAAATCGCTTTAATTATGTTCTATCGAAGACAACATATCAAGAAGACTGGCAACTCTTCCATTTTCTCATACAACCGGTATGAGACAGGTACACTCGCGTCATCTGCCGCTCAAAGGTAAATGCTCCTATAAAATTTGATACACGCAAACCAAAAATCTATTACAATGAATATTAGTTCCGTTTCCTATCATCCTCTGTTCATGAACATCGCAACGAATGTTAGAAATTGACCATGCAGGCGATGTAATGGTTTTTTGTCTTTTTTATTTTGTATTCTATTTGCGCTTTCGACTATACCAGTAAGCTTGTAGAACGATGCACATTGTAGAACACATGCACACACTTGCTTCGAAACTCTCCAGCAGAAAAAGCATACGAAGTCGAGTATGCGAGAAAATGAACGCTTCATGTTTGCTTTTAGGCTATCCATATTCAGAAGCATGGAGAGAGCAGTGGAGAAGGCACAGGTCTGATAATCACAACGTTCGTGGTTCGAGTCCAGTCGGCAATCTGTTTCCTATTTTTTTCGACATAACTTATTTACCTCACTAACACACTCTACATTTTTCAGTCTCCAATTTTCTTGCATTGGACCGCAGCTAGGTATATCGCATCCTCGGTTCATGCGGTCTCCACTAACATCCTCTGATGATGAATCCCACATAATTGTAAGTGAATCTTACATCTCCCGGTTGGGTGTAGCAAAGGTTTCATCCTCAGAAGAAAGGTGTATGTATTTGCTCATTATTCTATGCGTTGCTTCCACCTTCGCTCGAGCGCAGCACTACCATAGAGGTAACTCTAAGACCAGAAGGTCCCGAAGAAACATACTCAACTTTTTGGCTCAGCTCTGGTACTATCTTTGCACCCTTTGAAACATAGGAAAATCCACGAACCCCTCATTTATCTGTCAAACTTTCATAGCGAATCAAAACAAACCTAGTGTAGCACTAGAATTTAGACTAGTATGGGGTACGCTTATAGATGTACTTGGGACCAATAGACTAGTCAAGTAGTGAGCCGATTTAAAATCGTGAGTTTACAACGGTCGGCACTACTCTGTCTGTCGCTTGGATTCAGGCAAAGTTGCCAGTCTTCTTGATATGTTGTCTTCGGTTCTATTCTAGTTTACCTGATATTTAGCCAGATTTATTCAAAAGTGAGTTGAATTTTCTGGGTAAAAGACGTGGAAAACCAGGAAAACTTCCCACAACATTAACAACGCCTACGCATTTTGCGTTTACATTTCATATACAGTCAACTCTATCTTGCTCGATACTCAAGGGACCATTTGCTTAGGGATGTATTTAATTGTTCTGTAAAGAAAAAATCTTCTAAATTCATTCATATTTACCAAGAAATTAAAATTTAAATTGGGTTCTTTACGGGTAGTGTGGTAATTGCATATTCGTAATTTGCATGTCTAATGGAACCGAAATCCAAAATTTCATCAATCCTGAAGAACTGGAACTATTTCAAACAAGTGTGATTCCATTAGAAAAATCACCATCTTAGCACCCCTCGGTGGCACTTTGTATGGGAGCGAGCTGTCAATTAGTGAGTTTTGTGTCAAACAGTGAAGTGTTTATTTCACTTTAAATCCTGATTTACAAATTATGAAAGTAAATGGGATCAAAAAAATATCATTGTGCTTACAAAACGAAGCTCTTTCAGATGATGTACATTTTTACTCCTAGACTGAGTTAATTTTTCGAAGATTTTCCTCACATTTGAGAAGTTTATCCTGGAAAATCGTTGAAAAATTTTACTCAATTTGTGAGCAAAGTGACGCACGAAACGAAAATCAATTATTTTATTCATGTGTTTCACTTATACATTTTTGCCAAACATCAGCCTTATACATTCCGTAAGACAAACCATATAGGTCCTAAAAGAATGCATAAAAGGTATGTGTGACCGCTTATACATTTCATTTGACACATGATCTTCATAAACTTTTTGCAAGGCGTCTGCTTATTAGTTGACTTATACATTTTATGAATAATCAGCAATAGAAATTTGCCAAAAGGTATAAGGAGATTTCTATCCGTGCGTGAGTGCATATATACCAATCCACATTGATCGATTCTATTCATCGACTCTCTCTGTTGGAAATACCCTGGCTAAAACAAACGGTTCCGGTCGTATGAGATGCTAGATTGTTCCATCAATCTGTGTGGAAATATCTTAACAGAACGCTAGCGATCCAAAGAGAAAATCCATTAAGTAAATCGATCAATGTAGATAGGACCTATTGAAAATTGTCGCGAGAAATCCACTTTCGGCAAAATTGAGTTGAATTCTTAATTTTGAGTTGATCTCATCGTCTGTGAAGAAGTTTGAGTATGAAATATTTCATTTGCTTGAAACATTCGATTCAATATTGCACTCAATTAAACAAAAACAAGGCCAATGACAGTTACTCAAAATTGAGTCGAATTGGACACAACATTACTAAAACTAGGGTTACTCAGTCCATTATATGCGCACAAGTATTGATGGTCCGAAAGTGAGGATAACAATAACAAACTAACTTTTTTGGCCGAAGCGAAAGTGAGGGTAAAAAACTTTGCACTTGAAAATGCGATTACGCAAGTGTGCGTGAAAGGTCAGGAAGGGACTTTCCAGGAATACAGTCCCCCTCAGATCATCCAAAAAGAGACGAAATTAAAAGTTAATCTGAGTTGGAGCCTACCACCATCAGTGCACGGCAAAGGGGCGGTGCATTCATTATGTCACGCTAAATTGAGGAAAAACTAACCCCTCCCCCTTCCGACACATTTTTCCTATACCTAAAGCTTGTCACAAAAACCCTCGCAAAACCTTAACCCCATTTAGAGCGTGACATAATATATGGATCACCCCAAATTAACACGGCATTCACTCAAATTCGCACACCAACATCTATGCATGTACAAACCGACACCACTGAGCGGACGGTGCAGCGCAAATCAAAACACGAAGCGATGTCATCATTCAGCTTCAGCAGCTTCCGCTTGCATTTGCATTCATCGGCGTTGACAAATACCTTCCTACGTTATAATACAAGAAATTAATCATTATTCCAACGTTATTTTTTAATAGAATGCGTGCTACATTGACCATGGAAGACGGCATTTTTATTAAGTTTGTTTAGCAATGATTTCGATACGTTGCATTTCCAGTGGCTTTTGCAATAATTCTTTAGGAAGAGGGAATGTTTTTTCTATGTTTACTTCTATGCTTATAAAGATTATTTTGAGCAACAGTTTCGCAAATCAGCCATTACTATTAGAAACTTGCATCTTACTGATGCCGGTGGTGATATTGGACTCTTTCACTCGAAAGCAAAACATATTACAAGCCCATTATGATGCGAGATTCGATGTATGATTGTTTTATCCAGTGTTTCTGTTGCGTTGCGTATAAAGTAGTAATTATTGAAAATCGGAGAAATCACAAAAAAGTGAGAATTTTGCTATCGCAATATAATGATAAAGACTTCGAGTATGATATCTTCCTTTTCTCTCGGCTGAGCATCAACGTCCGCTCTGGCATCTGTCATGCTGACACCTGTCAGTTATTGAGCCCTGGGGGACTCAGTTTTAACAACCAATGGAAACTAACGATTTTTAATTGGATCACTACTTGACTAGCCTATTGGTCCCAAGCAAATCATTTAACGTACCCCATTCTAGTTGAAATTCTAGTACAACACTTTGTTTGTTTTGATTCACTATGAAAATTTGACAGATAAAATGAGGGGTTCGTGGATTTTTCTATGTTTCGAGGGGTGAATCGATTAGCTTGGGACCGAAGATAGTACCAACACCGTCGGTGGTACCAGAGCTGAGCCAAAAAGTTTAGCTCGTTTTTTTCAGGACCTACTAGTCTTAGAGTTACCTCTATGGTTTTAATGTGCACTTACCAGATGGTACTGCGATCACCTTAGGGTGATGTATCCTTTGCCTTGTTGAAGTAATTGATTAGTGGGATATCTTGTTAATAAGATATCTTTGGTAAATGTCACTCAAATATTCTATTGTTCTTAATGTATTCAATTGTCGTTGGCAGTGTTGTCATGCTTAATTCGCTTCTTTCCTGGGCTTGAATTCAACTAAATGATTCCAAAATTCTTTATGGTGTCTGTGAAAACACCCATTAAGTGTTGGAGTTTAAGGACCTGTTAAAATAATGATAATAAATTAACATGGTACTTACGAGACAGTTCTTCAGTTTCCCCATCGATTTTTCTCGGCTCCGGGATAATAAAACTCTCAATAATTAGCACAGAATACGACACTAAAAAGAACTCGGTACCGAATTTTCACTGATGGTAGGTCAAATTGGAAACCACGTTGATGCAAGTCCAGCAAAAAATAGCAACTGCATTGCGTACAGTTTTTATTTTTACTTTTCCCATACAATACCGAAAATATAAAACTGTGCGATTTTCTCAGCAAATTTAAATTCTGTGTTCAGTATTTATATCTCGATTTATATGTACTGTATAGTATATGTTTTGCTTTACTGTTTAAGCCCAGCAACAGATAACTGCTGGATTAGTGTGTAATTGCTATAGGACTCATTTTAGCCATAATCAAGTTGCTGCCACTTACCTCCTACCTCAGTGTAATAAATTTTCAGGCTGCCTTTTGATTTTCGTATGAAAATAGTGAAAACTGTTTCGCAGATAATAAAATGTGAGTGAAATTGTTCGGAATCGCTAACAGTAAACCAAATATCATTTATTTCCAATATTGTCTCTTCACGACATAAGGCAAAATTTATCACACCCCACACCAATTTCCTCCCCTTCCACGCGTCATGTTGTCAGTCCCAAATCGTCTTTGAAGCTGGATACATCTTCTATGTTCTCAGGCTTATCATCATCTTCGGGCACCGCTTTTGGTACAGTTGATGCTTGCTCAATGGCATTAAGTGGTGAGCTCTTCAGGATTTGCTGATATCGATCCTTTATATCGACGAGCCATTCAGTATCGTCCCAGTGATACCAACTCAGCACGCAAACCATCAGAATGAAAAACAAATTGGTCAGGATTCCTATAAATAAAATGTCAAATCAAATAACGATAAATCGCATTGTTGACATTGCAGGCAAACCTATCATGGCGGACATAATTGGCCAGTTGAACATTAGATAGCGCAATCCAGAAAAATTGGCAGTAATGTGAAGTTGAGCCGAGTAGAATTGGATTTCTTTCGAGAGGACAGCAATATCAACGCTTGTGACCGGATGCGCCTGGCTGTCTTCAAAATGGGTGAACAAATCGATTGCCACCATTTGTTTTTCCTCTCGGTAGCCAAGAATGAAGAACGGTGCCATCACCACCGTGTAAATCATCTTCAGCAGGTTTGATTTGAAGTGCAGCATCGAAAGTCGACAGGATTTGATCGAATGCTCACTTGCATCACGATCTTGCATGGTGGCACAAACGGTGAACATACCTGGAATAGGAACATTAGATTATATTGTTGTTCATAGGATACTATTCGATAATCATGATGGGGTACCTGTTTTGTCGTTTTGTGTTGATTCTGGCATTTCGAGGTAAAGTGTTACGCGATAGGCTTGACCTACCATGAGTATTTGCTGTTTATTAGTTAAAATCACCGTATCTGAGGGGTACTCGTAACATTTTTGATTTGGTTGGCAATCTCTATAATTATAGAAATTTAAAAATTAGTTTTCGTCCAACTACTTCAGGAAGTGTCATTCGACTTCTGTAGATTTCTTTACAACTGTCCCCGGTTTTAATTTCCGTATAACTACCTCCGGAAGTCTTTTGTGATTTTCTTTGAATGATTCTCCAGACATCTCCGGAATTCTCTTTCAAATTCTCCTGAAAGTTTGTATTTTGTGACTTACCAGGAAGCTTTTAGAATCTCATAGTTACTCAGGGAATTCAAAAAATTTCAGGAAATTTAATAATATTTTAAAGAAAATAATACAAATACCTATATAAATTATAATTCTGAACTTAAGGTTATAATACTTGAATAAATTTTCAAGAATCTGGAGTCAAATTCCTTGCACAGTTTTAAAAGCTCATGGATCTTTTTTATAATCTCTAAGAACCTCATTTTCTTCTAAAGTTCACAAAAGTTCTACTCCTCAGAAGTTATTATGTTTTTTATTAAAATTTTATTTGAATTCAATTCTGGGTTTTCTTGAAATTCTTCTCAAAACTATCTTAGGCTTCATATGAAATTTAACTCATGGAGCAAAATCTTTCAGAAAAACTTTAACTGCAATCTGCTTTCAAGGTTGTTCGGAGGAATTTTAAATTTCATATGAAGCCTGAGATAGTTTTGAGAAGAATTTCAAGAAAACCCAGAATTGAATTCAAATAAAATTTTAATAAAAAACATAATAACTTCTGAGGAGTAGAACTTTTGTGAACTTTAGAAGAAAATTTGAAGGGGTATTTTGATGATAATTTCATAAAGTTTGTGGGAGAAATCTTTTGGAGAATACTTAGGTGGTGAGAAAGATGCTACAAGGAGAATTAAAATTAAATCTGATAATTATTCCAGGAGATCTTCAAAGGAATTCGTAAAAGAATTCCAGGAGAGTTTGTCAAACATATTACGAGGAGCAATCTAAGGAATTTGTGAGGAGAAATGCAAATGAATTCTTAGGAGACTTTCAATGTAAGTAGAATTGTAAGGATTCTGAAGAGGATTGAGATTCAAAAGGAAATATGCAATTAAAGCAATGGAAATACTGAGAATCTTTCCAAAGGGTTTCTTACTGAGGAAAATTCAAAGAAATTGAATTTGGAGGATAGTTCCAACGAAATTTTGAGGAATATTTCAATGGAATTGCGAGAAGTATGCAACTATATTCTGGATTTTTTTTTAATTGAATTCAGAGAACGAATTTCTAGAATAACTCCATGAGATTTTTGGGAGAATACAAAGCGAATGCTGAGGAGAGCTCCAAGTGCATTTTCATGAGAAATCTCCTTTGAATATGGAGTGAACTGTTCTGAGGTCTTCAGAACTACTTGAAAGTTCCCAAATTTTACCCGAATTGATTGAAACTGCTTGACCCCTATCCGATGATGTTTTTTGGTTTGCGTGGGCGTAGTTCGGTTCGCGTGTAAAGGGCCTTAAAACATGTGTATACAAAAGCTTTTGTGCCGTTTTGAAATGTTACCCAAGTTATGTCAAGAAGTAAATTCAGATCGCAGTCACACTTATGAATGGAATATAAGTTCAAATGCCCATAGCCAAAAACATTTTCCCAAGAGTGTTAGCACTGAAATATTTCAGCTCCCAACAGTTACTTATCTAGACCTTACCTGTAGTTGAGATACACTTCTTTGACATGCGACACGGTTGGCATGTACGAGTAGTAGAAGTACGCATACATGAATATAGAAGCCCACACGATGGAGACTCCAACCAATACGGCTGCTATCAGCTTCAGGAGGATGTTTTTTGTCGATTGCACTCCGGCATTGGTTTTTCGTTTGTACTCCTCGGCGTAAACGATTCCGGTCACGGCCAACGGTTTGAGCAGGTACTTACGAATGATTTCGAAGGGGTCCAGTATAGTTAATATTAAACTCCCGAGCTGCATTCTGAATCGACTATCGTTCACTAGTCAAAACAACACAGTTTTAAATGTATACTACTTATTTCGATCGACGGTTTGTTTTGTTGCGACGAGACCCAGTGGTGTTAACCGATTACAACACTATCGCTCATGAGGCGACAACAGCTGGCTAACATAGTATGCAAGGCACGAAAGCACCCTCGTCGAGTTATCATCCACTGTGTAAGAGAGCTGATGGTGTACTGAAGGCAATCACTGATGTACATTTTAGAAATAGAAATTCAGTAATTCATCATTTTCAAATAACGTATGATCAATGCTTACAGTGGTATCAATTAAAGTCTGCATTTTTTGATGACTTTGAATAGTTTGCTCCGTTTACAGTTTTTTTTTTATATTAAAGGTGATGAAGAAATTATCAGTGGTGATATGGTGGATGTGTGTACGTACACGTATGATGAACCACCTTTTCCAGTTCAAAGGTTACATTGCTACGTCAGACCGAGGGGGGTGACTATCTGCGATGCAGTAAAGATTGTGTTTTGCTCCGCGTACGCTGAGTAGATAGAAAGAAGATTGATGACGATTCTGAAGATTTCCTACAAAAAAATAAAACACCATGCGCTTTAATAAAAAATACATAAACGACCGATAACTCAAATGATAGAACTATTCCACAAATGGTATAACTGATACCCCGAACAACTCGAACTTAAGCAAAATAACCATACAAATTTTATTAGGGCAAGGGATCGTCCATTAATTATGTCACACTTTTAGGGGGGAGGTGGGGTTTTGGAAACTGTGACGAGCCTTACAAAAAACAATTAAGGTCCATATAAAAAAATGTGACAAAGGGGGGAGGGTGGCGTTGAAAATGGGCCAAATTTGCGTGACATAATTAATGGACCTTTACCAAGAAATGAAAGAAAAGGCTTCGAAGATTGATTCGCTAGTGTGAGATTTTTTAAGCATCTAGAATTGAGATTTAGCCTATACTCGCTTATTGGCATTATCGTACCCCCTAGGCCGAAAGCCTATAATTGAACGTAAAAACAACTTAGCTTTGCATTCATCAAGGAGTTCATGTATATTTATTATCACTACAATCAAAGGATCTGTTCAAAAATTACGTAACTCAAAAATTGCGGTTTTATACTGCCCCTCCCCCCTGTATCCAAACATTACACATTTACTAATACCACCCTCCCCCAGGTGTAACGCGTAAAAATGACATTTTTATCAAGCAAGAGATTGCATAAATCACATTTATAATTGCTAAACATAAAATTTGTGCATTTTATTTAAGATACAATTAGTTAGATAGTATTATGAAACAGTGCTTTCGATGATAGAAAATTATCTGCATATCCTCTTTGTGCTAAGGTTTCGATCACAAATTACGTAACTCATAGAGCGGTGGGTCGAGCTTGCGTTACTTATTGTTACATAGGGGGGAGGAGTGGTAATGGGAAACGTTACGTAACATATTTACCATAGTGATAACAAATATCAGAAGCGAAAAAAAAATTATAAACAACTAAATAAATATACTTGCCTCTAGTATGAATGCTTTGTTTTCTAGCTATAATAAAAAAATAAAACTGTTAAGTGTGACTTTTATGCTCAATCTTGGAAAGGAGGTCATATCAAGCGTTACTTATTGTTGAATAGTGGGAGTAGCGTGGGGCTTATTTTTAAAACTCGTTCGGGGACCTGTTTTTACATGTGGAAAATGATTATTGGGCCTACACAGATAAATATACTAGATTTTAATTGTGATTTAAACATTCATTCTCGTAGACTTGTATTTTATTTCACGCAACCGAGCAACTTGCAAACAATGTTGTTTACAAATATGGGCTGTTGTATACAATATTAGCTACATTGCATGCAATGTGTCATATAAAGATATGTGATGCTCCATTTATGTGCATCATATTGAACAGAAATTTATACTACTTTTTCGAACTGCCTTGAGTTTCGAGAAATTATCGAGAGAATTCATTGTTTACTAAAGCTGTTACGCCCTAATTCCAGCTCTATCAAGGTTTTATCAGCATTCAGCTCAGCTCAGAATCACTAGGCAAGCTGCAATTTACACCACATTATAAAAAAAACTTTGCTGTCATGTAAGATATTGAAGTGCTCGCCATATCTCTGAGAGATGCAACAAGATTTCTCCCTGCTAGCTGCTAAGTCGAAAAGACTGTTTTCATGCAAGCGTTCATACTAGTGTTGGAAAAGTTCGCGATATTTCACGAAGTTCTCCAAGGGAAAAGTTCGCGAGTCATAGTGATTTTTTGCGAACTTTTCCATCACTGGTTCATACGAAAAACGCTACTTTTCGACTTCCTCAATGAGGCCCATGATCTCCAAGTTTTAAAGGAGTGACTTTTTCGTTCCAGATCTAAATGGTTTTTATTGATAATGGCAAGACCAATTAGTACTTCACGTAGATACCACGTACGTGACGTATGCTTCTATATAAAACCTTTGATTTTAATCAAAAAATCAAAAAAAGCTCATCGTTCGATATTTTGGACTTGGACTTTAAATGTTAATGAAAAAACCTAATTTTTTATATGTTACTTAATTAGTCCCAATAATCATTTTCTACATGGAAAAACATGACCCGAAACGATTTTTAAAAATAAACCCCACTCTAAGGGGAGAGGGTCTCCAAAATCCAGATTTTTGTGCGTTACGTAATTTGTAAATCACGCCTACGTTGACCTTCCGTTCTGTGTTGGCAGTCTAAACAAAGACAAACCGACATGAATGACTATAGCAAAAATAATAGAATTGCTGCCAAAGCACACTACTGACATCTGGCTCCGTATTCGCGGGAAATATTTAGCTAAGCCATGAACTCGGCCATAAACCCGCATGCAAAAGTTATGAATTGGTTCGTGTCTGATCTATTATGGACAATTTTTTTTTTATTTCAAAAACACCTATGGTTTTGACAGTTCAGATCACTGCACATTTAAATCGGCCGTGTACGATTTTCGGGCAAAAGTTAGAATTAAGTGTCATGTCGGTTTGTCGGTGGTCTAAACATAATATTCGACTTTTATCCAAGAAAATACGTGTTAGCTATATTTTGTAAATAAAGTTTATGTATTTCACATAAAGAACACGACATATGATTCCACACTATATTATAAATAAAAAATAGTGATTAATAACACTGTTTACTTCTTATGAAAACTTGAAATGCATGAGTTTTCTGGCAAAGCCCGGTCCGTTCCACAGACCATTCAGCAGCAGATGCCAGTACAGTGGAGGCATGAGGTCCTTCTTCATGTAGAACATTGATATGCGTTCCTTACTTTGATCGATGGGGAACGTTTCCAGTGGGGTTAGGTTGTAGTCGAATTCAGCCATAATGCAGGTGTTGTACCCTGTGACCAACGGGCAGGACGCGTAACCATCGAACACCCTCGTCGGTTTAACGCCATTCATGACGGCAATCATGTTTTTGTACACTATCTGGGATTGAGCGGCTATAACAAAAATCGATCAATTAGGATTCAAAGTTAAAAAAAAACATGAAGCGAACTTACCAACTGAGGCAGCAGTCTTTGAGTTTGGAGAAGCCGAACAATCACCAATAGCAAAAACATTCTCATACTTCAGGTGCTGGAGAGTATCTTTGCTAACATCGACAAATCCAGTTTCCGTGACGAGACTGGTACATGCTGCCAACGCATCCGGAGCACCCATCGGTGGGGTAACATGGAGGAACTCATACTGTCAAAAGATTATTCGTTTAGACTAACCAAACTTCGATACCTGTACAAAATGCTTACATCAGTGGTGAATTTTTCCTCCGGTTTATCCAAATTCTGGAACACGGCTTGATTCTTATCGGGGATAACCTCTACGAGGTTCGTGCGTAGATTCACTTTGATGTCTCGTTTTTCAATGATCTTCCACAGCTGATCCGCATAGTGTTTGACTCCAAATATAACCGGTAGCGATGTGTTGTACACCACATTGGCATTTTGCCGTTTCTTGGACTGAAAACAAAAACAGTTATTTTTTAACCATATGCATTGCAAAGAGGAAATTAAATACCTTTCGCAAATAATGCTCGCCAATGTACAAAATCTTTTGTGGTGCCCCGGGACATTTGACCGGACTGTTCGGGTAAGTGAAAATGGCATTACCAGATTTGAATAGCTGAAGGGCTTGGTAGGTCCGATCAACATATTTCGGGGAGTAGTTTGAGCATACTTTGCCCTTCGGGATCGAGAGAGCATCCACCAGTCCGGGTATTTTGTCGTAGTTCAACTGCAAACCAGTCGCCACCAGTAGGAAATCGTACTCGATTTTGTCACCATTTGCCGTGTAGACAGTGTTGTTGTCTGGTTCGAATTTAACGGCGGAGTCTTTGACCCACTTGGCAAGTGTGGGTAAAACCTTCGACATGGGACGGTAGCTATCTTTCAGCGTTTTAATTCCACCACCAATTAGGGTGAACATGGGCTGATAGTAATGGTTCTGGAATAAAATAGGGATGCAAATCAATGAAAACAAGGATAGAATTGAATATGAATTAGATGGAATATGAAACACTCTTGCGCTGTGGTTTGAGCACTATTAACAACTTTTTTCTTCATGTTTCGTAGGTCTAGCAGCAATCAGTTTCTCGTCAAAATCCACCAATAATTTGGTGTAATCACCCATTGGAACTCCAAGGTTTCATAACTGCAGGGAAAATAAGGGTTGTTTTGACCCACACTCATAAAATAACCAGTGGAAAATATGCATGTGAAATTCACATAACTTTCATGTGATCCCATAATTGGAAATTGCACCACTAAATCACATGGACATTATGTGTCCAATGAAATTTATATAATTACTCACATGGAATTTCTTATGTTATGTGATATTGATGATCGTTTGATAGACATAGACATCGAATTGAAAAAAAATATTCCTTTAAAATATAATGAATTTTGTGAAGCACAACTCAAGAAATGTGGTGTTCTTATTTCAACCGCGTTTCTAATGAAAGTCACTTCCTCTTTCAATTCGATCACACAAATATCGAGGCAGCAAACCGTTAACTAATTTAAAAATGAACACCATAGTCAAATATACAATTCTTTGCTTCACCGACAACCATTGTGTAGGAAGTGAATCTTACATCTCAATATCAAACGCATTATTTTATTCTGCAAGCGCTGTAATCTCGATATTTTTGTTTCATTGGCCAGAAATAAAATGGAAGGGCAAAAGTCTAGATGAGGAGAGATGATTTATTTATATAGCTGTATTTTACTGGCAATAGTTAAATCGTTTTTTAGTCGACATAGAATTCCATACTCCTTGGCAATTTTCTTGATGACATTGTCAATGTGAGAGTTGAACTTAAGTTTGTCATCGATAATCACGCCAAGATGTTTAATCTCCCGAACGCGATGAATAGTCTCATCAACAATTACAACTGAGATGTTCTCATTTAATCGATTCCTCGAAATTACCATAAATTTAGTTTAACTTGTATTCAATTTCACTGCTTGTACTTCAACCGTCTACTTAGAGAACGCAAATCTTCATTCAAGTGTAAAACGGCATCATCTAAATCCTTAGCTGCAATGAATAACACAGTACCATCTGCAAAAAGATTAATGTCGCAAAATCGTAAAACACGTCGCAAGTCATTAATATACATAATAAATAACAGGAGCCTTAATACACTTCCTTGGGGCATTCCAAGGTGATTCTCCACGGTACTTGAAACATAATCATTAAAAACAGTCTGTTGAGTTCTATCAGACAAATAGCTTTCAAACCATTGATCTTAACAATAAAAGCCTATAAATTGTTTATATTTAAATACGCCAACAACTGGCAATTGTCTCTAATGTGTGCGACATGTTGAAACTCTTCAGCTTTAATCGTTCCAGCAACTTTTTTAATAGGAACCCTGAAGATTCTTTCCAAATTTGTGGCACATGTCCAGTTTGCAATGATTCATTAATAAGGTCCAGCAAGATGTGGCCAATGACATGAAAGCAATCTTGAATAACTTGACACACTTATTTTCATTAACCTTATCTACTCCAGCCGATTTTCCTAATGAAAAACAAATAACTCCAAGTTCATCTAATGTAATTGGGTGAAAACCATCAAATCTACAACTACTATTAACTGGCTGTTTTATTTCGTCAGGTTCACCAACTAATTCAATGGATTGATTAATCAATGAAACACTGTCGACACAATAATCATTAAACTTAGATGCAATTACTTGTTCTCACTGTTCTAATGTGCTATTAAAAGTTATGGACCGCGTTTACAATTAATAGGTTTTAATAAAGGTTTCAAAATTTTCCATAACTCTCTGCTGTTGTTTTGATACTAATCAATCTTACTTTGAACATACTCACAACGAGTTTTCTTTATCGATTGTGAATACTTATTACGCGCGATTGTGTACCTTTTCCAATGATTTTCATTATTTGATATACAAAACTTTTTGTTCCAATTGTCCCTTTTCCGTTTAACACGCAAAAGATCCTAATTGTACCAGCTGTTCGAGTTTTTCAAAGAAACAAACTTTTGCTCAACTAATTGATTGGTATACGTTTTCAAAGTGTTATTAAGAACAGCTAATCTAAGTTACCGGTCGCGAATGGAAAATCCACGTTCCTCTCAACAAGATTCGAAACAGCCTGTTTCGAATATTCCTTCAGCACTTCAATTTTACTAATTCATCGTTGTTATTGATATTATCTAATACATTAATCACTAAGGTCTGATGATCGGTAATTTTCAAATCAGTATCCGTAACTGAACAAATGGAATGAAAGTTAGAATGAACGTGGTCAATTAAAGTTCTACTGTGCCTGGAATTACGTGTATATTCATCTACCGTTTGTTTTAAATTGAAAAAATCAGCTACTCGCTTCAAATTATTCGAATTATGGTTATCACGCCAATTAATATTAAAATCACCAGCCAATATATTTAATTTACGAGAATCAAGGAATGTCTCGAGCCAGTTCTCTAAAACTTCAACAAAACGCTGCTCACTAGAACTGGGAGAATGATACAAAACACCATAATTACCCATCTTCATGCCACGCACAACTGTAATGTCCAAGAACCAGTTGTCATCAATAACTACGTTGGTACCAAGGTTGAATTGAACTGATTCTTTGACATAAATAGCAACACCGCCAGTGTGTCTAGAATGTGATAAACAACCAGCAACAATATACCCCGGAATACTATACTGATCAAAAGCTTCAGTTTCAACAATATGAGTTTCAGATAGTAAAACCACGTAAAACTAAAAGAGGACGTTTTTCCTTAACAATCTGACGTAATGCTACGTAGTTTGTTGACAACTCCGCAATATTAAAATACAAAAAAAAAAAAAATCGAATTGATACACATTCCTGGCACTTGGCTGCTATTCATTGAAACGCAAGTTGCTTTTCTTCTGATCACAAAGTCTTTTATTTAGCAAACATGCAGAGCTAAATGTGGCATGGTTGACGTCTAAGTTCATTTTACTTTCTTTATTAATTTTCAAACAATTAATACATTTCAATACAGTTGACGTTTGTGTTGTTGGCTGCACCTAGAGCATCTCTCACATTTTTTGCAATCCATGCTCTTGTGCCCAAATATATCGACAATATAATAAAAGATTCCAATACAGAGACATAACGATAAAAAAATTGGAGCTTAAGCATAAAATTGACATGTCACCCTATATCTATCTCTAAACACTTCAGATTTAAAGATGATGAAATAATAATATCAACATCTCTTCACGTATGACTTTTCCTGAGTGTGTGATAACTCGATAAAACAGTGTTCGAAAAATCATTCCCAAATCTCAGTAATTGAGCCTCCCTGCCAGAATAAACTTGCGTGCGAATGCGGCAAATAAAATTCACGCTTGAGATTTTCATGCTTCACGTACTCACACTCACAACATCGAAAAATCATTCTCGATCTAAACTCATAAAAACCACTCAAACGTCAATTGCAGGGCTGTTACAAGATTTTCTAAAATCGATCCGCGAAATCCGCGATTCCTCAAAAAAATCCGCGACTTCAAATACTAATCCGCGACAAAAAAAAAACTGTTTTCATTGCCTAAAAATACCATCTGTATAATACTACATGGTATTTCAAGCTTATTGCTTATAGCATATTAGATTTTTGCCTTCTCTCAACTTAGTACTTCAACTTTCACATTTTAATTCAGAGCTTTCTATACCTGTACCATTAGACTGATGCAAAATTTGACTTTTTCGCTCCACAGTGCTTAAATGGTTTCAAATCGGGTCCTGATTAGCCTCCAAAAGTTACAACTCATTTGGTTAGAAACAGACTTCGCACAAACCATTTGAAGTTTACGTGTAAATTACTATGGGAAATCTCAACTTTTTGTTCATTGCCTTCTAGTCTTTTTCCATATTGAGCTGCGAAACAGTCGATAGCCATTTTTATAGAAAATTTTCTCAGCTACAACTTTGCTCAAGATTATTTCTATGTAAAACGAGACAGGAAAAAGTTATTAATTATTTAAGAGATTGATAAACTTATGACTTGATCAAGCAGCTGCTCTGTAGGCAACACTGTATTTTGCAGTGTGACATAGTAGCCATGATTTTTGTGTCCTATTCAACGCCCCAGAAACACCAATGTTGCCTGCTGAGCAGTTGATTGAGCATGATCATAAGACATCAGCGCATTGAACCATTGATAACTTTAGATCCTTGCATTTAATCAAAAAATGATCTCCAGCAAAGTTGTAGCTGGGAAAATTTCCTACAAGTACAGTTGAAAGTTTTTGAAGCAAACCGATATGGTGAATTATTAGATAGACATGAACAAAAATCTTGGTTTTACCATAGTAATTCCCATACAAACTTCAAATGGTTTGTGCCATCTTAGTTTCTCACCAAATGGGTTCAAATTTTGAGAAGTTAGTCAGGATCAGATTTGGAATCGTTTAAGTATTGTGGAGCGAAAATTTCAAAATTTGCATCACTCTACTGTACCATCCTATCCTCAATTTTCCAACCCCAAAAATTAATAGACCGGACGGGAATCGAACTCAGTCGCCCCCAGCATGGACCTGCTTTGTAGCTGCGTCTTTACCAACTGAGCTTAAGGAGTATTGTTTGTAAACTTTAAAAAAAATATTTATGCATAGTATAAATTCTGAGTAATTATGTAATACCCTTACATTATGAGATTCTATTGAATAATACCGGCCTAGATTTGATTAAACATTATTTAAAAAAATTATGTATTTTCATTTGAAATGCAAATTTTCTTGAAAGTTAACCTTTGCGTCTCTGACGTATTTTGGTGTCCTATATGTTGTAGTTAATTTGGCTCTAGTTTTCTCAATTTTTGACCGATTCAAACCAAACACCCTGCACATAATCGAGAAATTGCCAGAGTTTCATAAGTCACACTTATTGGTCACGTCGCGGTTCTATATCTACACGGATATTCCTTGGGGTCTGCCGAATCGTATTCATGTGACTGTGTGGATCATTAACGACTTATTACTATGTATACCGGAAATTATAGGTTTTCCAAATCGTCCAGGACATCAGTTGATTTGTTCTACTAAATCAACCAAGACTACAATAATGTCTGTAGTATCAAAAAATGTCCAATCAGATTCAAAGTGTCTATGTGGATCATGCATGATCTATTTCTGAGTAATCCAGATGTTGTAGGTTCTTCAAATCGTCCTGGAGTTCAGATAATTTGATCTACTAGATCAACCGAGATTGGGACAATGTCTTTAATATCGAAATATTTCCAGACAAATGCACGATGTCTATGTGGATCATGCATGAACTATTGTTTTAAGTTCTCCAAATTGTTCTGGAGTTCAGATGATTTATTCTACTAGATCAACCATGACTGGGATAAAGTCTGTAGTATCGAAATATTGTTTGGATTCATAGTCTCTATATGGATAATGTTTAATTATATTCACGTATACCAGATGACTAGGTTCTCCAAATCGTCCTGCACTTCAGATGATTTGTTTTACTAGATCAACAAAAACTAGGATAATATCTGTAGTATCGAAATATCGATTTGGAAATCCTAGAACATTTGGCATACACGGAAATAGGTTGGCATGATCCACATAGACACTGCAAATTTGTTTGGGCATATTTCGATACTACAGATATTGAATTAGTCTTGGGTGATCAAGTAGAAATATAATCTGATCTCCAGAATGATTTCAAAAAGAAGTTGAAGTCTTGAAAATTCAATATTTCTATATTATAAAAATAATACAATTGATTATGCGATTATTGTCAGTGGCGCAATCTACCTGTGCACCAGGGAAACTGTGGAAGTGCATCTATAACACTAAGTTGAGAGCCAGAAAAACACACGGTATAGAAACGTAAAAAAATACTAGAAGATGTCTTAGGTGTGGTTGCTATCAAGCGCGATATGCCCTTATACTAGGTGTGTGCACGATACAATTCCCTCAAGGAATACGGGTTATAGAACTATCAACATGATTTCACTCACATCAGCTGGTTCGAGGATAAGGACTTTTCCCACACCAACTTTGCTGGAAAGTTTTGCTGCTACGGCGCATCCATCGGCCCCACCGCCGACCACCAACACCTTGCATCTAAAAATAGACATACCATTCGAAATGATCAACAATAAGAGATGGACGATAACAATTTACCATGTCAGTATCAGTTGTTCTTAGAAGCATCACTTCTTCGTTATGTAATAGGTCAATCAAGAATTTTATGCTTTCAATGCCAAACGTATTACATTTTATGTAACCAATTCAATAACAAAGAGGTGTGGCCTTAAATAAAGATGATACGGAAAATGTGTGTTGCATACTTATGGAAAATGTATGTTGAGACTTTGAGGCGGAATTCCGAAACACGTTGCAAACCCTGAGTGAATTCATATTGTATTGTATAGCCGATGTTTATTCCGTTTATAACACTAATCGCATGTAGCACTGAAATCCAAAGAAGTGAACCTCATGCCTTGTTCAGACTACAGAGTTAGAACATGTTATAGCGCTATCTTGATGGTGGTTTCTGTGTTGCAATTATTTGACAACCCTTATAACATGTTATAACTGCTCAGTCTAGACAGCGCTTCAGACTCACTCCGATGTTAATAAAGCAAGTACTGACATTTATGTTTGATAATCTTTAAACACAGTTATCATGCGGTACCAAAATCCGAACATCTATAAAATTATTTGAAATGCGCACAGCACATACAAAACACATACTTGTATGTTTTGTTCATCTGTATATTAAGTCTGATTAATTTTCCAGAGTGCTTGAAAACAACGTTTTGTTTGATGATCAAAATACTGACTCTTCAGATTTAGGATGAAAAAAAAGAAGAGGCTACGCGTTTGACTTTTCCTGACTGTGTGGCAAAAGTCAACAGTCCACACACCGTATGCATTATAATACCGTCAAAACCTCGTATGCGAGCTATTTTAGACGGTTTTCATCACATCTCTTTTCACTGTCGGCTGAAACATGAAAAAAATTGGTACTGTATCATCATGACTCAGCAAAAATCAACTTATGCAAGCAACGAGTTGCGCGTGGAGATTAACGACTTGAACAAAATTCGATCAAAGTATGGGTGTTAATCATTTCGAATGCAGATCACGTTATTTGCTTTAGGGAAGAATAAAAACCCAACTATAACTAAATTTTCAAAGAAAAACAATTCTTCCAAAAGTCAATTGAACTAAATCTTCATCGATTTCCACTCATTCTGATTACGACCACTGAGATTTGAGTTTACTGTGTTTCTAGTGTATGAATGACGGAAAAATCATGGAAAAATCTCCAATTGTTTCATACGTTTTAAACAATCATCCATTGATTGAATAATTTTCTTTTGATGTGTCTTCAAGCGTCATAAAAAAATATTTCAAGTCCACTCTTATCTGTTGTTTCGTTCTACGTGCAGGATGCAGCTGGTCTGAACACCAATATTGATTGTAACTCGTAGCTTAGGTTGCTATCAAGCAACATATTCTCTTATATTGATAGCAACTGTCAAGTGTACACACGATACAATTCCCTAAAGAAATACAGATTATGGATATATCAACATGTTTTTACATACATCAGCTGGTTCGACGATCAAGACTTTTCCCGCACCAAGTTTGCTGGAAAGTTTTGCTGCTACGGCGCATCCACCGGCACCACCACCGACCACCAACACCTTGCATCTAAAAAATAGACATACATTCGAAATGATCATCAATAAGAGATGGACGATAACAATTTGTTCTTCGAAACATCAGTTCTACGTTATGCAATAGGTCAATCAAGAATGTTATGCTTTTCAATGTCAAGCGTATTATGTTGCATACGGAAAATGTATGTTCCGACCAATATCATAACGAAGAGATGTGACCTTCAATAAAGCCATGGAAAATGTATGTTGCATACTTATGGTTTTCATTGTGAACGTTGGATGTAGCGAATCCACGAAGTAAAATATCAGACTTTGAGGAAGAATTCCGGAACACTTTGCAAACCCTGAGTGAATTCATATTTATTGTCTAACCGGTGTTTAATACGTCTATATCTCTTAACACATGTAGCACTGAAATGGATCCAAAGCAGTGAGCCACAGACTTACTCCGACGACAGGAAAGCAAATACTGACAAGCGATCCGGCTATTTTTGATAATTTATAAACACACCTACACAAACACCTAGCTTTATACGACCATAACACAGAGAATCGCAGTAAGCCATGTTAACAATATTAGCCTTGAAACGGTGAGCTTTGAGAACTGCTGAGCATAAGCTTTTTCATCATTAATTCATCTATATAATTTTCTGCTGGTAGATGGCAGCAGCAGAAAGCTTTGATCCTATTAGATTCAAGATCGTACCTTTAGGCGTGGGCTTACATTTCTTAAATTTGTAAACTTTTGAAACCGTGCTACTTAAATTTGATATCAATATATTTAATTGCTTATAGATTTCCAGAAAATCATAAATGGACTTCGGGACGGCGTTCATAAATTGACAAATTATCGGTTTAGTTTGAAAACCGGAATAACCCACTAACGATTTTACTCTGGTTCTGTACGTTGAACATAGTGTCGCAAGTCAGAAGTACCAAAGTACCCAATAAGCATTAAAACGGTGCCCTAATTCTTCTTTAAATCCGAATATGAAGCAGTTATTAAATTTGAATGCATATGAAGTGCTGTATGCTAATTACAGCGCACTACTTCCGACACTATGTTTAACATACAGATCGAGATTAAAATCGATTGTCGCTAGTAGGTTATTTTGGTTTTCTACACTAAGGTTTCCTACACTAAGGTTTTGTACACTAAGGTTTTCTACACTAAGGTTTTCTACACTAAGGTTTTCTATACTACATGATTATTTTTATGTGTCCCACACATGAATTTTTGCAATGGTATAAACAAATGATATATATATATATATATGTATATATATATACAGAGCCATTCCATTGCAAACCGATATAGTGGTTCTCAGAATTTCGTAACAATTGGCAGTTTTGTTCCTTATCGATAAATATTAGACCCGTATCTTTTTATTTTCTCATTAGGGTGACCATTTTCCTGTTAGGGTGGTCCAAAAAATCGATTTTTTTCTATTTTTTCCAAAAATTGATTTTTTTTTTTTAAATCATAACTTTTAAACCATTGAACCGATTTGAATGATCAAAATATCAAATGAAAGGTTATTAAAAATACTTTTCAGAAAAATATAAACTTTTTTGAATATTGGAATTTTGTATTGAAGAATTTTGATTGTATTTGTTTTTATGGTTTTCATGGTTTGTAGACAATGGGCGTAACACGTTTTTATATTTTTTTTTGAAAATTTAGGCTTTTCTACACAACATATCAAACATTCAGCGATGTATTTGTCTTCGTTTTTGAGTTACGATTTTTTGAAATTATCATGTTTAGAAATTTCGCACATTACTCCAATATGACTAGATTACCCTGCGTCTCCATTGGTACATAGCTGACATAGTCACATAATCCATATCAATTTTCTGCTTCTGCATTTATAGGCTTGTTTATTCAAAGTGAATACTTCACCAAGTAAATAGCTACCTAGACAGAGCACATGCTAAAATCATACGGAAAACTTGGTAGGCAAGGTGTTCGTTCGTAGGTACAATGCATCTCTCTGTACAGCCAGTGTTTTATAAAAGATGAATTTTAAGTGTTCTTGTTGTTGTTTGTGGGTTTCAAATGCTTTAAAGAGGAATCTTACCCAAGCTCTTCAAGTTCATGCGGTGAAGAAAAAAGTGAAATTAGATGGCAGTTCCTTCATATGCAGAAATTGCTACCTCAAACTATATAAACCCGCACCCGAAGAGCCCGCCCATCCGGAGTTCCTGCTGTCAACAGCCAAGATGAATACTGTATTTAAAAAATGTATTTACATTGGTAGGCATGAGTCAAACGAGCATGACGTCACATTATAGCAATCTGAAAACATTATAACGTCAGGCTCGAATGTAGTGTAGTATTTACAGTATTGTCAAATATGTTTTTTTTAAACTTCATTGTCAGAGTCACTAGAAGCCCCCAGTTTACAATCGATCAGAAGTACTGACAGTGTGCCGACTACAAACGATGATGAAATCATTCAGCAACTCAAGGAAAAGTTTCTAGAAACTCATGATAATAATGAGAAGTATCGCACGACTTTACCTAGAAGCTGGTCAGCATATAAAATAACGAAGGAATTCGGTGTTTCTCAATATATGGCGGATCGGACCAAAACATTACAGGAGGACAAGGGGATAATGACGACACCAGGAAGAAAGCTGAGCAGGGCGTCTTTAGCAGAAGAAACTTTATCACTCGTGCGTGATTTCTATACCAGTGACGAAATAAGCCGAGCCTGTCTAGGAAAACGCGACTATGTTATTTCAAAAAATTTTGATGGTAAGGTTAATATACAACGAAGATTAGTATTGTGAAATTTGCAAGAAGCTAAAGAGCTTTATACATGGGCAATTTCTAAAATCGATTCAAAAATGCACTATGGCTTTTTTTCAGACGCAGATCATAAAGCGATGGAAAGAAAACTTAAAACCCGTTATAATCGTGTCAAACAAATTTCCGGAACACAGTCATAGTTTTAGCACAGACAAACAGACATAACACATTGAATATTTCTCATTGTAAAACATCGTCGCTAAAACATTACCGACATCTGTTGAGTACACTGTGGTGGGTAGTACGCTGAACAGATGGCGGTAGTGTGTAAACGTTAAACGCAAGGGAATTGAGTATGCGCGCCACAGGTGGCAGTACTACCAACTGAGATACCTTTAAATTGACTGTTAAATGCTTGTTCGATGAACAACTTGTGAGAGTTATGTCTGTTTGTCTGTGGTTGTAGGCCAGAAAATGAAAATTATATTATTGTGAAACTAGTCTCGTTCTCGTCTACAAATAAAAAAAAAATAAAAAAATAATTAATTTTATTTCAAACCAGCCATGCGCATAGTTGTAAACCATAAGATTGTCTTATCAAAGCATTGATTCTAGTCCAAATATGGACTAGCTATGGAGTTCCAGACAGTCCGTGAAAGATGTACTACCCAAATTTAATATAAATATATTCTATTTGAATTCCTATGCTATGAATCACTGTAGTAATTATTACTTACACATAAAGCAAAAGCAATCAATAAATTTGATTCAATTTTCTATGAATGTCATGGTAGTCTAGGATCAGAAATTAAAATAAGTAAGTAATGTAACCATGTTACATTCGATATGTATCAATGGAGACGCAGGGTAATCTAGTCGTATTGGAGTAATGAGCGAAATTTCTAAACATGATAATTTCAAAAAATCGTAACTCAAAAACGAAGACAAACACATCGCTGATTTTTTGATAAGTTGTGTAGAAAATCCTAAATTTTCAAAAAAAAAAAAATATAAAAACGTGTTACGCTTATTGTCTACAAACCATGAAAACCATATATATATAATAACGGCCAATTTGTAGTCGACAGCCAGTCATATATGCGTTTCGTGACGGGTGGCGATTGGACTCCCATAATGAAGAGGGTCACGATGGAACAGCGGATAGAGCAAAACGCATAACGAAAGGGAGTTGCTGGGTCTTGGATGAGCTACGATGAAGAGGAGAGAAGGTCTGTGAGTCTGGAGCTGTGGAACAGAGTGGATCTGGTCAAGTTTAGATGGGGTTCAGAGACGTGAAGCACGTTGTTAGAGTGTACTTTTGGAAGGTAGTGTGTGAAGAGCCAATAAGGCGGTGATACTGGCCGACGAAAATGACGTCACCGGCAAGTTGTGCCTTTCGGGGACCGAGATTATAACCTCTGGGACAGCTAGCGTCCGTGGTCTCCCAGGATCTGGGATCTGAACGTCAGTCCATACTACAGCCGCCAACAGCCACGAGGATCGGTAGCTTGACATCGACAGCGTTCGGTTTCTCTATTGCAGCAGCGTACACACTTAGATTTTTTTTGCCGAGATGGGCACCACCGAGCAGCTCGGCATTTTATTTTGGTGGAAATTCAGCAAAAAATATGTTTGTTAGCTGAGATCTCGGCAAAATTCCCGTTTGTTAGCTGAATCTCGGCAAGTTTTTCACTGAGATCCAGCAAAATAAAATGCCGAGCTGCTCGGTGGTGCCCATCTCGGCGAAAAAATCTAAGTGTGTAAGTGTTGGATCAATAAAACCATTAAATGAAAGCCTAAATACCAAAAAAAAAGCCTATTCGTCAAGCTTTTCATAATTCCGAAAACTCTCCCTACCTCTCCAACGCCCGGAGACCCGGGAGCAAAAGTGACCTTTGGTACTCACCACAACAACTGTATTAGAACAGCAGTCAGGGATGTAGACACGTCCCCTTCCAGGACGGCGCAGTAGCTCCTGGGGTCAAACAGTTGTGAGTTTCAATATTAATAGAATTAACTACACGCCACAAACCGTATCCAGCGTGACTCGTTGATCCAGTCCTAGGAGGAAACTATACTGATGGCTATTGGATTCTTTCGACTACAGATCTGGAAATGACTATCATGTTATAAGTATAGTTTTCACCGAGGTTTCCACCCACTAGGATCTTGATCCTGTGATAATAATTATATCCGTCAATTTGTACTTCACAAGTGAAAGACGTTCTTTACGATCTTGAAAATAACACACGCGTATGTTTAAGCTTCGAGTCACCAAGTTGTTATAGTTTATTCTTCCTTCAAGTGTACGCTATATACCCTTCTACCCAATTTCTCATTTCTCGTGAGAGGAAATATCGTTTACTCATTTTACCGAAAATGGGGACTTCTAATCTTGCCACTACAACTCCTCCTTCCATTAGAAATGACTCGGTATTTTCAAAATTTAAAACTCATTTCAATATTATCAGAAAGCAAATCTAAATCTACACATTTGCGTTAACAACAATTCAAATTCAATTTAGGGATGGTCCATTAATTAAGTCATGCCAATTTGGCCCATTTTCAACCCCCCTCCCCCCTTTGTCACATTTTTTGTATGGACCTTAATTTTTTTTGTATGGCTCGTCACAGTTTTCAAAGCCCCCCTCCCCCCCTAAATGTGT